ATCAAATTCTCACTTTGTATTTTATTTTTCAAGTTTTTTTTTTATTTTTTTTTCTCCAAATTAGATAAAATAAAGTAAGATTTCATAGCTCATACGAAAAATATTTTTCACCAGACATATACCTTTAACCCAAGTGATGTGTTAATCATGGAAGGGCATTTTATCATAATAAATTGGGGCGAGTTTAATGTAATGACTAAATTAAAACACAATTAAATTTCAACGGGCTTGATTTTTGCAATTGGAACTTTAAGGAGAAAGCAGGAATTAATATATCACATTTACTGATAAGTTATATTAATTCAATACACAATTACTATTGAATTGACATTGAACACGATCCAATATCAACGCTAATCCAACAGAAAATTGGGTCTATAAAGTATGCAGACTTATTTTTTGGACAAATATAAAGTATGTAGATGAATTAGGACAAATGTATGCTTCTCATCAGCTATAACCCGACAACTATACACCTTAAAAAAGAGTGACTCTATGCACACCAAATTTGTGTATCAAAAGTGGGCATTAATTTGGTGCACACTTTTAGTACACAAATTTGGTGCATATATAATTATCCTTTAAAAAAAATAACATGCCACAAACACCTAAGAGTATCTCCAGCAATAAAAGTTAGTTTCGCTACTCAAAAAACAATATTTTTTATTTTAGCTACTCAAATTTCAATACACAATCCAATAAATTTTTTATATTTTTAACTATTTCCTTTAAATATTATTTCTCATTCTTTTTGCATTATTTTTCTTTGGGAATAGTTAAAGGGAGAAAGAGAGAAAAAGGAAGGAAAAGAAAAGAGGAGAGAAAAAATATTATAAATTATTTATACATGTTGTTACAGTGATACTCTAAATATAGAGTATCACTATAACAAAATGTTATTTTAGAGTATCTACAAGAGAATGAATAAAACTTTTAAAAAACTAAAATTTAGTTATTTAAAAATAAAAACCATGTTCCAACAAAAGATGTCAAGATTAAGTAAAATATAATTTTGTTCTAGTTTTGCTCTAAATATAGAGTGTCATTATAATATTATTTATAAATAATTTATAATATATTCTTTCTCCTCTTATCATTTTTCACATTTTTTGTCCGCTCTTTATTTTTTTCCTCTATTCTTTCTTTCTCTCTCTCCAACATCTATAATAAAGGTACAATTATGAGAAATAATATTTAAAAGAAGTAATTAAAATATAAAAAATTTATTGGAGTATATATTAAAAAAGTAACTAGTTAAAATAAAAAAATTATACTTTTATATAGTTAAAATGTAAAACCTTATTAAATATATTCTTAGATGCTTTGGAGATATTCGTATGGAATGAAAGTTTGGAGTAAAATAGCTATTTTAAAATTTTTATGTACTTTAGTGTCTCTCTTCAAAATGCTCTAATTATAGCTTTTGCAACTCCCAAAAATTTCTTTCTCCCAGACACCTATCACATCTAAGAAAACCAGGCTTCATGTGCAAACAACATTTCCCTTTGTGTCATCGAACCCATCGAAATTATCTGCAGACTTTATCTATCCAATCTCATTGGGAAGCCCAATTTTCTCACTCTCCAATGGCCTCATGACCTAATCCTTCCCTATATAAACCCAACCAACCTCCACCATTTAACACCCACCATATTGTTTCCAAAGAGCAAAGCACAAGAAAGAAGTTTTTTGAGTTAGTTAATACCGTTCCTTTGACATTCAACCATGAAGAACCTTTTCTTTTCCATGGTTTTTCTCCTTTCCTTCCTATTCTTCCTCGCTCATGTAAGCGAGGCGGCCATAACATGTGGTACAGTTGACGTGAAGGCTGCCTCGTGTGTCACATTTGCCACCGGCAAGGACACAAAGCCATCTGCAGCCTGCTGCAGCGGGCTCCAGCAGCTGACTCAAAGCGTGAAGTCTGTCGACGATAAAAAGACAATCTGCCGTTGCCTGAAGGCTGGTGTTCAGAAATTTAATGGTGTACAAGACAAGTTCTTGAGCAAAATCCCTGATGCTTGCAAGATCAAAGTCACATTCCCTGTCTCATTGAGCATCAACTGTGAAACGTAAGCAATATTTCATCAGTAATATATCACCTGAATCACGTTTTGAATCAAGGATCAAAATTTTGCCATTTCAGTTAGTCCAAAAATCTAAATTTTTTATCACTCATTCGTTTTAATTTCCACCAAACTGAACACGTTTATAATTGTTGTTTCGGTGAAAACGAAATAAAATTGCTCTTTATTATAAATATACGCAAATGACCCTAGATTGATTTTTGATTTGCAGGATCCGCTGAACTAGCATGGAGTTGCATCAGTGATTGGGAGAAAAGAGTCATCTGATAGACTGTAGGGAGGAATTGAATAAAACGATAAGGCAGTAGTCTGTTGGGTTTATGCAATACCCAACTCTGGGCCTTAGTTATGTAATCTTCATTTGGTATTTAATGAATCAGTATTTGGGTTTACATGCATTTTCACTTATCTTCATTTACCCTGAAAGAATCAATGCGCTTCAAATAAATTAAGAAGTCACTACAAAAATTATGAAAAAATTTGGCATTTAATTTCAGGCATTTAACCTAAGCGCCACTAAAACCGGCGTTTGTTTATAAACACCACAAATTATTAATAAAAATAAAACCTTTTTTTTTGAGCTTAATTTTCGTCCTCTAACATTCACTCTCTGGACCGGCCGTTTGGCGACCTTTCTTGCTTTCACTCTCTCTCAGGCGACGACTCCTCGTCGGCTCTCTCTCAGGCGACAATTCCTTGTCGTCACTCTCTTAGGTAACTCTTCGTCGTCCTTATCTCCGGCAATTCCTCGACGGCACTCTATCCGGCGACTCCTCGTTGTCCCTCTCGCAGATGCCTTCTCGTCGGCTCTCTCTCAGGTTCGTCTCTGATCTGTAAGTACCTTTACACATGCTTTGGTCTGTAAATAGATCTACCTAAACTATCATGGCCTCAAGGACTAAGAATAGATCTACGTGGTCCATCACACATGAATTACTACAGAGTGAAGTGGCTGTTGTATTTTTATAAATATCATAGAATTAATGATTTCTTAGTGTGGAATAAAGAGACTGGTGAGCCACATCCTTCCATATAGAAAATTTTTGCATAGAATTTCTGTGTGCACGACATAATTAGTTAACTCGATAAAGTATGGTTTTGTTGGTCCGATATTGTGTATCTTTCGAGAAGTACCTTTTGTATCTTTACTTTCTCTTTATCTCCATCTCAGGAATTGATTAGAAAAGTTAAAAATTGGAAACAAATAGTACATCAGTTTGCTTTTTTCAGTCATTGGACATGGTGTTCGAGTGGTGCATCATATAATGTTTTTGTAGGACATAAGTGCTTTAAGACATTTGGGAATCACCACATGCTCTAAAACTTTTTGTGATGTGGTAGACCATCCTTAGTCAAAGACTCAGAAAATAAGTGACTTTGTGTTGAAGCATCTAGTGAAAAACATGTTTTCTAGAACACTCATCACCATGATTCTTCCACTGTCTACAGTGGCTGACATGTGTGGTTGTTTTTGTTTTAGGTTAGCTTATATTGCTGTTGGTATATATTCGTTTGAAAAGAGGAAGGTAAGCTCAGAATAGGTTTATAAAAGCAGTAAAATTTGCAAAGAATCAATTGCACTTTTACTTCTTTGAATTTTGTACCATCCTTACCGTATGTTTCTTTGTAACGTGATTTTTAATTTTATCTCTATTCATTGTTTATATTATAGTTTAGTTTAAACTCACGTTTTTTAATGTTAAACTTTACTATTAAATTCCATTGTTTTGCTATCTTGTAATTTACATGTCTTTTGTGTGTTTTAACTCTTTTTTTGCTCTGTGATTTTCTGCATTTTGGTTAGATTTTTTGTCCAACCATTTTTTTATGCAGATTTCAAGTTTTACTAATAAAAGAGTTACACGTCCTATATAAAAAGGGGTGTCTTACAAATATACTTTTCCTTTAAAAAATATACCTGATATGTCATGAATTTGATTGTACTTAATTATTAAAAAATACGGTATAGGATAATCGAGTTTCCAACTCTCTTTTTTCCTTGTTTAGATTTCTTGGCCAATCACTAGATGATGATGGCAATAAATCACACAATGACGGCGGTATATTTTAGTAATGGAGGAGTAGATAGTAATAATTATCACTAAACATGATATTGTAATCACTCAACAATTTTTTTTAAGTGTAGGTTCCAATTCCTCGAATTCTATATAGAGACGAACTAGAGGTCCTACCTTGACGAATGGCGGCAATGTGCTACACATTGAGGAAAATGAATTAAAGAAAAATGGTGAAAAAACTTCTCCACTTCAATCTCGTTTAGGCATGCTAGCTCGAAATGGGACCATGCTCCCTTAAATTGGCACGAGTGGCATGTTGTTCCCAATGAGTATAAAGAAAGAGTATGGGATAAAATAAAGGTGGAAAGTTTTTGAATTTATTTTATAGTTACTAAGTGATTGTATATAGCTTTTGCATGTTATTAGTGATTTTTGAATGGGATTGTAGGCAAGCACGGATGCAAAAGAGTGGATGAAAGGATATCTAATGAAGTCTATAGGGAGGAAGTGGAAAGATTGGAAGTGTAATGTAGAAAGATTAGTTCACAAGCTTGACTGAGTGGAGGAATCACATTGGCGGGCTTTGGTCTATTATTGGAACACTCCGAAGGCACAGGTACAAATATGCAAGTGTAAATCTTGTAAATTCTAAAAGAAGTCACTGCTCTTTTTCTTCAAATTTTTATGATAATTGCTTTTGACATGTAATAGGAAAAAGTGAGAGGAACAAACTCATTTGGAGCAAGAAAAAATTTCATCATACCATTGGCCGAAGCTTTGCATGTGTTATGGAAAGGGTTTGTTAGAAAATAAATGTGTCTTTTAAAAAAATTTTATTCAAGTTTATTTATTGTGTCTTTTTTAACTGTAGAAAAACAAAAAGAATAATGGGAAGAAAATGAGTCGTATTAAATTTTTTAAGGTTGCATATTCAAAGAAAGATGGTCGACTAGTTAATGATGTTGTTGCACAAGCCTTGGTATGTAATATTGGCAAGAAAGATGTTCACTATTTATCCATTCTTATTTCGTCTTTGTTTCATATTTATTTAAAATTATTTTTTGCTGCAGTCAGACATGGATGAACTTCCATCACAAATGTCAGATGAAGTTTTCACTCAAGTCATGGGACCAGAGCGACCAGGATGTGTTAGAACATATGGTTTTGGACCATCTCCGAGATATGTGTTTGGACGTAAAAAATCAGAAGAGATGCAAGCAATGCAGTCCCAACTAGATGAGGAATTGAGTAGACATAAGGCAGAGCGTTAGAGATGGAGGCTCAGCAGACACAAATGAAGAAGCAAATGAATCAGATGGAAGCTAAGTTTGAGGCTCAACAAAGACAGTTTAAGGTTTTTCTCGTTCAAATGCGTGCAATGGGTATGCCTATTCCCGAACCAGCTCACAAAAATACAGATCCACTTCAGGTTAAAAAGGTAATAACAACGTCAGCGAGTTATATTTTGAGTTAGAAGAGTTATTGTATTATTGTATTATTTTTCTCCATGAATATTAAATATTTGCAATCTTAAAAGGTACCTGATGCATCTAGTACTCATAATATAAACTCTCACTGATCATCGATGAGGAATAAGTTAAGAAGTCCGGTAGTGCCAGACAGAGTTTCGAGGTCATTCTAGAGCATCTTCATTTGGTTAGGTGAGTCAATAAATGGAATAGTAGCTCAAATATTACATGAGTTTGTTGACTAGTATCTTTTCTTGTTATTTAAATGTCTTTGCTTGTTGGGTTTTATGTTTGGTTTGAGTTTGATGGATTTTTTGTGTTTGTTGGGTTTTCTGTTTCTATTGAATTTGTGTTATTGGAAATACAAATATGTTCATTTTATTGTTTTATGAATGTTGGGTTCATTGACAAAAGAGAACGAAATTGCAACATGTTAATGACAATGCAGTGAAATTCTCGCCCAAGTGACTCTCCCTCTTCTATACCATGGATCTGCCCATAGTTGGTAAATAGGCGATGGTGGTTGCTCTAGGAAATTTGAAAGATTACACATTGAAGCAGTATGTTGTGTTTATGGATAAGTTGCAAGCAAAAGCGAAGGTTGGCTAATCTTCTTCTCTCTGCTTCAATAAGTTCCTACTATTTAGATGGTAAAATAGTGAATAAGAGTGACTTTGATGCTTATAAGCCTCTTATTTTTGGTGATCTTGGCGTGCTATGCTATAATTTGATAAAACTATTAGGAATTAGGGTCCTCCTTGGAATATTTATATAGTAAATATGTGATTACTTGTGAATACCAAGATTTTGATTGCCCTAATTATGTATTTGTTCTCTTAATGCATGATATCATGAGCAAGCAAAATTGTGTCTTTGGCGCCAAAAACATGACTTGATCCGAAATGTGTACACCTAAGTGCAGGCGGTCAAGTTGTAGTAATAATCCGGTTAAATTCGGAGTCGAATCCACAAGGAACTATTGTTAGTGTTTTGAAGTAAGTAGTGACAGAGACCAAAGTGACTGGAACCCTTGAGATTTAAAGTGATGATCTTTATGGATTTTTCCTAGATAGAATATAGGATTCTTTCCAAGAGGATTTTCTAGACAAAATATAAGATTCTCTCAAATGTAAAAGTCACCCTTTAGCTCCAAGATTTGGACATGTAGCAAATCATCCGATTGTTATACTTGTGTTTGGTAACTCAATTAACTCACGTGTCAATGTAAAGTTAATCGAAAGATAAAAATGGATTGTGAGAATTAAGAGCATGATTCCGATGTCTTTGTAGAGGTTTACAAGAATTGTCAGTGCCGAGACTCAACCCATCTACAAACAAGCAAGTGTCACTACAAGACATCCAACCATTGCGTTGGTATTCCATTCTTTAAATGAAGCATAATAATGGTGAATATTGAAATGTAGTCATGAAGATCTAGTCGGGGTACTTGCCTAGAACTAATGTGTCTTTCTATGCAAGAGTCATCTATGTCATAGAAAGCATCCACAGTTGTGCAAAGTACCTTAGCTTTGCTAGATGCATCCAATTATTCAATAAGCAAGTGAAATATAAAACATTAAAGCATAAAAAACTGCACAAATATAACTTCTGAACGATTTATACATGTCTATCACTTCTTACTAAAGAGTGAATGAGGAACTACTCATTCTTCATGGCTTTGGTAAAGTTAGAAAAGTGAGTGATGCTCATCCCTCATAGTAGAGGAGCTACAAAATAAAATACGTTAAACAAGGAGCCGATCTTCGACGAAGAATTGGGGAATCACGTTCCATCCTTCATGACTTTGGTAAAGCTCTAGAAAAGCAGAAGAGTTTTACTCCTCTAAGGGAAAAAGGAAGGTCAAATAATAGAAGTAAAAGAAAGCAATAATAAAGTAAAAGAAAACAATAATACAGTAAAAGAAAGATAGTAACTTTTGGAGGATTTTTCACAACCAAAAGATGATTTTTTAAAAGCCCAATGGGTGGTATTTATAGGCAACAAGGGAGGGTAAAAAGTATTGTTAGGAGGTTTGAATTATACTTTGATCCCCTTTTATTTTGAGCTTTGACAATTGGCTCCCTTATAGTTTGTAGCTTTGATAGTTGGCACCTCTTTAGTTTGTAGCTTTGATAGTTGGCTCCCCTGTAGTTTGTATCTTTGACGCAGAGGATTTTCTAGACAAAATATAAGATTCTCTCAAATGTAAAAGTCACCCTTTAGCTCGAGGATCTGGACATGTAGTTAATCATCTGGTTGTTATACTTGTGCTTGGTAACCCAATTAACCCCTGTGTCAACATGAAGTTAATTGGAAGATAAAGATGGATTGTGAGAATTAAGAGCATGATTTCGATTTCTTTGTAGAAGTTTAGAAGAATTGTCTGTACTGATACTCAACCTGTCTACGAACAAGCAAGTGTCTCCACAAGGCATCCAACCATTTTGTTGGTATTCCATTCTTTAAATGAAGCACAATAATGGTGAAGATTGAAATGTTGTCATCAAGATCTAGCCGGGTTAATTGTCTAGAACCAATGGGTCTTTCTATGCAAGAGTCATCTATGTTATAGAAAGCACCCACGGTTGTGCAAAGTACCTTAGTTTTGCTAGATGCACCCAATCATTCAATAAGCAGGTGAAATATAAAACATTAAGTATAAACAAACTGCACAAATATAACATCCGAACGATTTATATATGTCCATCACTTCTTACAAAAGAGTGAATGAGGAACTACTCACTCTTCATGATTTTGGTAAAGCTAAAAAAGTGAGTGATGTTCATCCCTCCAAGTAAAGGAGTTACAAAATAAAATACACTAAACAAGGAGTCAATCTTTGACGAAGAATGAGTGAATCACGTTCCACCCTTTACGGCTTTGGTAAAGATCTAGAAAAGTGAAAGAGTTTCATTCCTCTAAGGGAAGAAGGAAGCTCAAACAATTGAAGTAAAAGAAAGCAACAAACTAGAACTATAGATCACACCCCCCAACCTAAACTGAACATTGTCCTAAAGGTTTCGAATTTACTTGTAACCACAAAATGGAGTTAGGATTTGAGAAGTAGAGATCTGTTCATCTGCCAAAACCTACAAAGAAAATACACAATTTAATCATCATTCTTCAAATAAGGGTTTTGGTTAGGTTGGAAACCCTTCTCTGTAAGTGCATATAGAAGAAAAAGACCCATGTACAAATACAGACATAAAATGAAAATCATGAAACAAAGGACCGAGTCCATGGAGTTATAGAGAGTGAATTGATGTGGAGAGAACAAAGAAGAAAATGAAGAAGAAAAAGAAGAAGAAGAAGAATAAGAGAAAGAAAAAAGAGAAAAAGGGGATAGGGACAGCGGCGGATGGGAAAAAGAGAAAAAGGGGTGGAGGCCTTATAAAGGCGTCCCAGCGGGTCGGGTTGGGTTGGATATTTCGTGACCAAACCCTTTTTTCTGTCGGTAGGCATGAATCTCAGAGGAATTTTTTGGATCCATTAAAAGAATGGTTTTCACATCTTTAACAAAGTCTTCCAAAAATGGTTTCAACCGTTGACCATTGACAGTGAAGATATTATCGTTCGATGGGTTTTCCACTTCTACTGCTCCATGTCCAAATACTTTTTTGATGATGTAAGGCATGGTCCACTTTGACCTCAACTTACCAGGAAATAGGCGGAGTCTTGAATTAAACAATAGGACTTTTTGGGAAGGGGCAAAGGATTTTCTTACTATGTTTTTGTCATGAAAGATTTCATCATTTCCTTTGCAATTTTTGCATTGTCATATGCCTCATTTCTCAATTCCTTCAATTCGTTAATCTGAGGTTTTTTGCTAGTCCAGCCTTGTCCAGGTCAAAGTTTATTGTTTTAATGGCCCAATATGTTCTATGTTCCAGTTCCATAGGTAGGTGGCTTGTCATAGACTAATCGATAAGGAGACATGTCCAAAATTGTTTAAAAACAGTACGATATGCCCAGAGTGCATCAGTTAGTCTTGACAACCAATCTTTGTGGTCTGAGTTTACCTTTTTTTCTAAAATTAGTTTGATCTCTTGATTAGCTAATTAAGTCTGTCAACTAGTCTATGGATGATAAGAGGTTGCAATTTTGTGAAAAATAAAGTATGTATTCATCAAATTCCAAAAAGGACGATTGCAAAAATGAGCACCCCCATCACTTATGTTGGATTTTGGAATTTCAAATCAGGATAAAATATTTTCTTTTAAAAATTTGATCACTGTTTGGTGATCACTATTCCAGCATGGAATTGCTTCAAACCATTTGGACACATAGTCTACAGCCACTAAAATGTATAGATAGCCAAAGTAGGGGAAAATAGTCTCATAAAATTGATGCCCCAATAGTCAAAAATTTCAATCACTAGGATGGGGTTTAAGGGCATCATATTTCTTTTAGAAATGCTTCCCAACCTTTGGCATCTATCATATGTTAGACAAAAGGCATGAATATTTTTGAAAAGTGTGGGCTAATAAAATTCACATTGCAAAATTTTCGCAGCGGTTTTCCTTGATAAGAAATGGCCACCACATGCTTCAGAATGACAAAATGATATTACCTGTTTGCTCTCATGAGCGGGGATGCAACGCCTAATGATTTGATCCTTATAGTACTTGAACACGTGTGGATCCTCCCAAAAGAAGTTACGAACCTCCCTCAGAATTGGTTTTTGTCTATCATTGTAAAAAACGGAGGGAGCGTATCAATAGTAAGGAAGTTAGCAATATCAGCGTACCATAGTGTTTTCTCGATGGTGAACAATTGTTCATCGGGGAAATTCTCATTGATTG